CCGCTCCCCGTTCTGTGAACCAGGTTCAGCTCAGCCAAGATCTCACGGAATACTACCGTAGAATCCGTCTGCGTGAGTTTTTCCTGGACAGTGAACCGTGTGAGCCAGAGCCTTTTCGAGTCAAGAGTTCATGGGTACCCCCCAAGAATCGTGTGCCAGCCATAGAGACATACGTTCAAGTTATCAATTCCCAAGTCACTAACCCGGACAACTTCCCCCACAGGACTCATGATAATCTCCCCAGAGAGGAACGCCTGGCTCTCAACTCCTTGCGCTCTCGCACCGACATCATCATCAAGCCAGCAGATAAAGGTTCAGCTGTGGTCATCATGGATCGTCAGCAGTACATTGATGAGGCCCACCGCCAGTTGGATAATCGCACTAACTATACCCGCCTTGACTCTGACCCCACAGGTACTTTCTGTCGAGATATACAACAGGTACTTGACGATATGCGATCACGTGACCAGTTGTCCAAGAAAGCTCACAAATTTCTTTCTCCCTGTGATTGTAGGACTGCCAGATTTTACCTTCTACCCAAGATTCACAAGGCTGGCAACCCCGGTAGACCCATCATCTCTGGTAATGGCTCACCCACGGAACGCATCTCCCTGTTCATTGACAGTTTTCTCAAACCCCTTGTCCCACAGATTTCGTCATACATTCACGACACCCCAGACTTCCTACGCAAGCTTGAAGGAATCAAGGACCAGATTCCCAGCACAGCCATCATTGGGACTTTCGACGTCTCATCTCTGTACACCAACATCCCACATGAGGAGGGTGTTCGTGCTTGCTCCTTGGCTCTGGCCAAGGCAGGACACACGACTCCTCCCATCAGTGATGTTGGCACCCTCATGAGACTTATACTAACGAAGAACAATTTTTCCTTCCTTGGTGAACACTATCTACAGGTACACGGCACTGCAATGGGCACTCGGATGGCTCCGTCGATGGCTTGCCTCTTCATGGGTGACCTCGAAGAACGCATTCTTGCCTCGGCCCCATGTCGCCCTTGGATCTGGTGGAGATATATTGATGATGTTTTTTTCATCTGGACCAGTGATAAGGACAGTCTCTTGACCTTCACTAACCACATCAATTCCTTCCACAGAACCATCAAATTCACATCGGAGTTCTCGGCTCACCAAACCCACTTTCTGGATGTCACCGTCCGCAAGCAAGGCAACTCACTAACCACTGACCTGTATTCCAAACCCACAGACACCCACCAGTACCTCCACTCCTCCAGATGTCACCCCAGGCACTGCAAAACTGGCAAAGCGTTTAGCCAGGCACTCAGACTCAGAAGAATTTGTTCTAATGATTCCGATTTCCCCCGCCATACACAGATACTGAGGAACAACTTGGTGGCCAGGGGTCACAGCTCTCGCCAAGTTCATCGTGCCATTGCCAGAGCTAAAGCTATCCCCAGAAATCTAGCTCTCACGGGAAAGGCCCCTGATGCCATGGCCAAACCCATGATTCCCTTGGTTACCACGTTTCACCCCAATCTCCCTCCCCTTCACAAAATCACTAATGACAATCATCATATCCTCCATACTTCAGATCGCCTTGCCCGCGCCATCCCCAACGGCCCCACATTGGCTTACAGGCGTCCTCGAAATCTACGGGACTTGATTGTTCGAGCTGAAGTCCCATCCTTAGATGCATCCCCTCCCACCCAGCATGGTACTTTCAAGTGCAGTTCCAAATGTGTTGTCTGCCAGATTCATATCCAGGAGTCTGACTCCTTTTCTGGCCACTCTAATTCTGTCACTACCCACAGAACCATTGGTAACATCACTTGTAACACCTCTATTGTCATATATCTCATTTCTTGCAGGGTCTATGGAGTGCAGTATGTAGGTGAGACTAAGAATACGCTCAAGAAGCGTTTCTATGCCCACCGGTCAACGGTCAACACCAAGAAACTAGACACCCCTGTTGGTCATCACTTCAACCTGCCTAACCACTCCATTTCTGATATGATTTTGCAGGGCATTGAATCTCTTGGCCATCGCAAGGACTCAGTTCGTCTCAGCAGAGAGAAAGTGTGGATGAATCGTCTTCGAACTATTCAACCACATGGTCTCAACATCCAACTTGGAAATGATTAATCCTTTTTTTCATCCATTGTCTTCTGTTACAGATAATCCATCTGGTCTTCCTTGTTTGTGTTTACCCATCTTCCCCCATCTTTCATCCCTTTCCACCTCCATACTGTTCCCCCCCCCGCATCATCCCTTCACTCTCACACTCTTTTGTCCGTTCCCACTCCCTGTGACCTTTGATCCTTCCCCTTTCTGGTCCCTCCCCTGTTCACACCAGACCCCTTGTGGTTTGCCATCTCCCTTTGTTTCTTTGTTCTCTCATCCACCCTCCCCTGCATCTTTCTACACCTTTCCCACTTAATCCTCCTTTTGTGTTTCTTCTTTCAGCCCGGCATGTTTGTGTGCACCCCCATGTTAATGTATGTACCTCTGTCATTTCTGTTTTAGCCTCTGAAGAAGAACTTGCTAAGTTCGCAACGTCAGGCCAAATTAATTTTAAGAAAATGTAAGTGATGTTACGATGACGTCATCACGTGATGTGACGTCGTCACGTGACATGTGACGTCATATTAAAAATTGCATATTTTTTGAAGGCCAATATCTACAGAACTACAGGTCTGATTGGGTTGAAACTTGGTATGCACCTAAACTGGGATGTGTTTTAGATGAAAATTTAAGTGACGTCATGATTTAGTCATCACGTGACATGTGACGTCATATCAAATGTGCATTTTTTCAAGGCCAATATCTACAGAACTACAGGTCTGATTGGGTTGAAACTTGGTATGTACTTAAACCGGAATGTGTTATAGATGAAAATTGAATTGACGTCACGATGACATCATCACGTGACATGTGACGTTATACTAAACGTGCATATTTCGAAGGCCAAAATATACAGAACCACTGGTCCGATTGGATTGAAAGTTGGTATGTACCTAGACCGGGATGTGCTATAGATGAAAATAGATTTAATCTTTAAAAATCAATATAAAATCAACCGTGAGAGACCTAAACTTGATTTTTGCGGGAATTGATAGAATCATCGAGGGTCCTCATTTTTTAAATATGTGCAAATAAATCACGTGACCCTTTCTTCTGGTTGAAACCGGAAGTGCCTTGTAATTTAAAATTGGTGAAAGATGTGAACTTGCTTTCAACGATGTTTGCTCTGGCTAAGTTGTTCTTCACCATAATATTATAGTAATAGATGAAACTTTATGTGACGTCATCATGACGTCATTACGTCACATGTGACGTCATAATTCAAAGCCCTATGAGAATGGAATCACATATTGTATGCCACCATTTATTATAAACAGAACTACATATCCTTGGTTGATGGAACACATGTCACATGTCACAAAAAGCATCGAAACAGCCCTGTGTTTGTCCACAAACATAAGTCTAGTTGGGGTGTTTGTTTGTTTGTTTGTTTTTAAGTAGTTTTAGTAATTACATTTCGTAATATGCATTCAAGACCACATTTTCACTGACCTCGAGTCTTAATTTCTGCAGTCTTTTTTTGTCCAATTAGTGCAATCAAACTAAAATGCTTCGAAGCTTACAGGATCTTTTTATCAGCGTGTGCGTTCATTTTGGTTTAGAGTCAGTCAGCCGATCTATTTCAAAATCTTGAGTGTTTATATCAAGAGAGGTTAATGCGAGGGGGGGGGCGGAGGGTGTGCCGGGAGGGGGGGGGGCTGAAATGCTCTCTGACATTCCTTTGTATTATTATTATGTTGTGCTCATGATTGTGTGTACAGGTGCTGTTCGTTTCTGTACATTTATTTGTACCTATTTATATAGAATTCATAAATACCTTAGACAGTGTACGCAATCATATTGGTCGACAGCCCGTCACGTGGCCGGTCTGAAACGGATGATACAGACATGGCTAGCTGGTCTTAAACACTTTTCCAGTGTTACATGAAATTTAGACTCCCGTGAAATCTGATGCCCTTTAACGTTCCATTGGTTTTAACGTTCCATCTTTCAGGCTGCTTTCAGCTCAATTACTCCACGAATTCAAGTGACATTGATTAAAAAGTTTACCTGAGTGATGGAGAGACCACGTAATAATTTTCAAAATTTAACCTCTTTTTTTTTATTTTACGACGTCAAAAGTACCGATGTCACTTTTCCTAGTTCCGGATTGGTTCAATCAGTTCCGAATCGATCACTGCTTCACGCAAAAAAAAATCATGCGAGATTTTTTTTTTTTTTTTTGAGCCAGAACCAACCGAATCAAGCATATTTTCTGATAAAAGTATTATTTCATTTTCCAAAAAAATAGTTCATTGAAGAGAATTCCAGCAAATTTAAAAAGAGAGAAAAACAAGTAAATGATTTTGAAACTTTTGTTTGCAGAGCAACGGCTCGAACTCACGCACGGACCAACAATCTTTGACCCAGCACAGAATACGTCACACAAAATCGATTAACGCGCGTGTAGTTGGGTCGTAAGTGCACGTGCTATCCGGAACTAGGCAAAAGCATACTGTCATTCATTGGCGAACGTCTAGTTTTTGACGTGTTTTGATTTTTGAACCGAAACAAAGTTGGACCAAAAAGGTAGTTATGAATGGGAATAAAATATATATGGGAGTCTGGATGGGTGATAATTACCCTCGGTATGTGCCATCGGCGTCATATTTTGGGCGTCGCGTTTGTAAGCTCTGACGGGGATCATTTTGATAGATTTCATGCAAGACTTTCATACAAGATAGCCAGAGATTTTTTTGTGCACTCGCACTTGTTTGGTACGTGTAGGGTTGTTTATGGATTTGTTTATTATTATTAATGCGGGGGGGGGCGGTGTTTTGTTTTGCTTTGCCTTTCTTTTGTTTATGAAGTCACCCCCTTTGCGGATACATTCGAAAAAGAAATAAATACCGGCGATCCTTTTTTTTATTGCGTGACATTTTCTTCATTATAGGGACCCTTATGGGCGTGGTTTGGGCTGAGAGGGTCTGCTACTTCGGTCAGGAGCCTGATGCAAATCAGTCAGGCCGTCTTCGCTGGTTTATGCCGGGGAGTAAGGCTGATCGTTGCGCCTGCACCAGTACCAGACCGGGACCTGTCTACATGCAGCCAGTCCATTGGTCTCATCCACCGTTTTACACCGACACTCCAATGTTCACCAACGACCAGGAGGACATTCATGATTACTTCAACTGTCATGGTGAGTATGGGCCTATTGTAATATACCTACTACTTAATGACGTCACGCTTTGTTTATATGTGCGCTTTCCTTTGAGATAGGTGGGATGCATTCCACCCATCCTGTAAACAAAGTATGACGTCGTCTGAGGCCTATTGTAAATGTCAATTTTGAACGTTAATGTCCATTCTGAAACCGAAGCAGCGGCAATACAGTACAGACAATTCCGAGCACGCTAACAATTCTATCACGAAGGCCCCTTTCAATGGAAAAAGCCTTGTGCAAGGTTTGGCTCAGCTATTCCGTCAAGTGGCAGTTGCTTTGTACAAACGCGTGCAATTTTTTTTTTATTTTTCCCCCCATTAAAGAGGGCCTAGTGAGATTGCAGTGTATACCAAATCAGGTGCGTGCAGTTCGCGTGAAAGGAAGGGCCCAATGGAATTGTGTGTGCCAATCGCTTAATTTGGTAGCATTACACAAATTATTGACTTTCCAATGATATATAGTCAGTGAGCCCCTATGCATTATTAGGTACACTGTTCAAAACTCCCAGGATCACAATAAGGATACCTCAAGAAGCTCAAAACCACCTGATGCCACTTTTTCTGACCCTTTCATGGGCGGGACATGACATTGAAAAGTAGGGTCTTCCCGAATTTTATTTGAAAACAACAAACTAGCTCAAATTTTAATTGTCGAAAACATTAGATGAGCAAACCTATAAATAGCTAGTAAATGGTTAATGTTAATATGAAAGCAGTATATAATCCTTCAAGACCGTCATATTCTTTGAAATTCGTTGTCAAACCTCTGTATTACATCACTAACATCTTTCCAGAGAGTACAAGCGCCACTACACGCGTGCCACTTCAGTATCGTATAACAATGCGCGAACGTTGATGTACGCGTGTGGGTGTACATGTACATGATCCTGATTACGTCACGTCGACGTCCCAAAAATTGACACATTTCAGGACAAGGGTTGATGTTCAAACCAGGTTTCCTTTTACGTCCATTCACCCATTCCGAAGAAATATTTTCTTAAGATTTGAAAGATTCTGTCTGTATTTTGCAATAAGAGTAACCAAAAATGCATGTCAAATAGTTTTCATACTTTTAAGAGGAGTCGAAAGTTGCACAAAATGTGTTCCTCAGATAAATTTATTGCATAGCTCTTTAAGAAAAAGAGGTGTTCATCTACGGACTGAAGACGTCTGATATACTTTTAATACGCTGAGATAATTAAGAGTTTGAAAGGAATACGGACGTGCAGGAAGTCTTAAAATATGCTTGACAAAATGCAAAATATGTTTGCCCAATAATGGCTGAATGTCCGATCAACCCTAACTGCTGGTTCAGACGAAATTGAATGAACAAGACTATACTTTAATTGGAGTGAGCGAAAAGACGATAGAAAAGATGTTTTATGTTTTCCCGGACAATGTCCTAAAATGTTCATTCAGTTCTGAAAATCGGTCAATACCATTTCTGTTTAATTAATTAAGTTATCGAGCAGCAACTTCCGATGTTGTCCATTAGAATCGCTTACAAGACTTCTTCTCCGCTTTTGGAAGGCGAAGATATAGTTAGGGTCTTTTTTTCATTAACCGTCAATGAAATTAGCTGTACCTGCGACCAATATAGACAAGGTATGCATTTGTAAATGAATGCACAGGTAACGTTATTGGCCGTTTGTTTCTCAAAACCGAATGCACGAAAAAAAATAAAACGATTGAATCTTTGTTGAATTGAAATGGGATTAAAGACGTGCATTCAATTCAAACGAAAATGAATAACCGATTTTCAGAAGTGAATGAACATTTCAGGAAATTGGCCGGGAAAACCTTTACTAGAAGAGTGAAATTGAATGGTTCTTGTTGATTGTCGAATGCAAATATGCGTGATCTTTCAACTATAATTTAAATTGAATGAGCCAGGCGTTAAACTGAATGAAAACTTAGTTGAAATTGGCCGGGAAAACCTATATTAACATGAATGTTTAGTTTGTTCATGGGTTAAAAATGACGATTTGGTAATTTGATACCAGATGACGTCAATCAGGGTTGACTTTCAATCCAAGTTTCAAATTTCTTTTGTGAACAGGTTGAAGAAAAGTCGCGCAGAATAACTGTCTGGATTAAGAAAGAAAAGCTCGTACGATTCTAAAACGGTGATCGGGTGGTGCCCGGTCCCCCAAATATTGGTTGCAGTACTATAAAGCACAATTATTTCCACAAAAAGCGTGATCACTGAAGCCTTTCTGTATTTTATGTTGTCATTTATAATATAGGTTATCCCGGCCAATTTCCTGAAATGATCATGCACTTCTGAAAATCGGTTATTCATTTTCGTCTGAATTGGAAGGTTGGGAAGTATGAAGAGGTCAACCTCGACAAGGCATTCCATGTTAATAATAAGACAAACATTGGTGTCTTTTCCAATTAAATTTCAACATTGGCACTACTTTGAATGTTTCTTTTAACGCAACATTACCAAGGCTTTTCTGTTGATAGTGTTTTCATTCAATAAATTGGATCTGAAAGTGAGCCTCGTTCATGTATAATGCAGTATCTCCGGCAAATTCCACAAAAGAAGCACGGCCGTTAATTACTAGCTTTCTGCCTCGTCTTCTCGCTCAAAAGTAAATTGGGCCTCGATACAAATAAATAAATTAAGTCAAATTATCCAGAGCAGAGCCAACATAAACAATTCAAAGCGGAGTTCTCCCTGTACCTTTTATTTCATCACAGTAGTGCAGGGTAACCCGTCGGATACGCACCACTGGCGGTGATTGAAGGACGCAATTTCCTTTAAAAAAGACCAGCCTTAAACAAAACACGATAATCTCATGCTGAGAAGCATTCGGCTTGTTTCATGTCGTTGCGCCGCCGAACTTGCGCCGAAATCGCTAGCGTATGACTTAAAGGAAGAACATGACATGGCTTTGCGTTTTGTATAGAAGCTTCCAACCAATACAAAAATCGAATATGAACAAGGACATAGTATATCTCAACTTAGGTGTCGCCCTGTACCGATATATAAAATACTGTTCAAAGTGTGTTACCTCACGTTTAAAAGTTAAAAACTCGGGTAGCACTCGAACCCACGACCTCCTGCTTTCTTTCTAGTGCAGATGTCTGACCACTCGACCATCGAGCTAACGGGATCGGTTGGCTGGTTCGATTCTTATGTACACAGCAGCGGGTACGGCGTTATCTATTCACAAGATGGATTAATTAATTAATTAATTAATGTATTTATTTCATTTGTTTTGCGGCGTGGTGTTGAAATCAAATGATGGTTTCCCCCTTCACCGACATAAAGGTCGGTGGTCAATCGGTAAAACATCTGCACTAGAAAGCAGGAAGTCGTCGGTTCAAGTACCAACCCAAATGATTTTCCCAACTTTCACTCTGGAGGTAACACACTGACTATAGAGTGTGTATATAAGTCGGTGAAGGACGAAATCTTGATTTACATCAACCCAACGCAAAAAAAAGAAAGAAAAAAAATCCATCTGGTGAATATACATAGTATATGAAGTATTAGTCTAAACGACTTATTGTCTCGTTTAACCGACTTATTTATCACATTAGAACGACTTGTTTAGCTCGTTTAAACGTCAAACGTACCTGGATACACTATTAAAGTTAAATGCGCGCTACTAAAGGTGTTCCAAATCTGCCATTTCGCATCTCGCATTTGGTGTGGATGATCTGAACTTTGTGTCGCGTGTTGTAATATGTGGATTTGGAACAAAGATCAACCTGTTACATACAGAGATTTCCATTCATTCACGGACGCACAAGTGAAACATGATAATCACTACTTGAAACACTTCGTCTGATTGAGCTTCAGCGTCAATGTATCAATCAAAATCTACAAATAATACCAAGTTTCATAACAAATATCCCAGATCAGGAGAAGGCGGATTCTGCGCCCGGCCATGATGTCCATTAAAACAAATGATTGTGATTGCTGTAATGAACCCAGCTCCACCCTGATCGATTCCACTATCACTATCGGTTCCACTATCTCCGACAGACGTTTTGGAGTGCTCTAGAGAGGGACCCTTCGGAATGGAAGATGGACGCATCCCAAATGAAAGCATAACGGCGTCGTCAGTGCATCCCAACCGGGCCAATTTCGCACCCACCAGGGCTCGGCTGAACCTTCAAGGTAGTGTTATGTTCGTTCAACAATTACATTGGATGAACAATAAGACAACTCAAACAAAAATAATTTGACAAAGGTGACCAAAAAATGTCAATACTTTAAGACTCTCCTTTGTGGGATGGTGCTCCAAAGTTAAGTCTGTTTTGTTAAATATTAAATCTACACATTTTGTGCTCAGAAACTTTCACAGGTTTCACAAGTCGCTCATACATTCATAGCCAAATTCCTCATTGGCTGAATGTCACAAGGGGGCTAAGCACAATACATAAAAAACATAAAGGGCAAACGAATAACAGCAAAAAGTATGTGTATAGCTTGTGACTGACTTTTTTAACACATACAATTGGCCATGCAATACTTCCTCTTTATTATCCGCTTGCTTTGCAAGTGTGGCCGTTTCCTAGTGCAGCGCTTGCGACAGGTTCCCGGTTTTATTTAACACATACATTTGCTAAGTAGTATTTTATGCTCAGTAGGTTTGATTGTCTGCTTACTTTGAAGTCAAGGGCGGGGCTGCTGCATGGTGTAATGTTGGACATGATGAAACCCATCCATGGATTCAACTCGACCTCGGTTCCGATGCGACCATTACTGGCGTTATCACGCAGGGGCGCGGGGACCACCCAGATTGGGTGACAGAGTTCAAAGTGGCCTACAGCGACGATGGCCAAGAATGGACTGACGTCATCGATAATGGATCAAGTACACCGATGAAGGTAGTCCAATCGCAATGTTCAATTTGCCCTTTCACGGATATAATTTCATAAACAATGCATACCAGTACTTAGTGTATGTTGTCCGAGGGGTTTGTGAGATAGAAGTCACACGCTTACTCAATCGGTTTGGGACTCGAACCCACGACCTCCTGTTTATGTTTGCAGAGGAAGAAAAAAAAATGATCCTACAAAGCCATGGACATCTATAAATATGCATGGCGCGGGGCGAGGGCTCCCTCTGTCGATCCTGATGCAACTACATTGGCAAAACTCGTCTCCATAAACCTTTCAACGCTAGTTTGACAATGCTTACACTTTTTTTATTCCTCACAGTTCCCCGGAAACTCGGACCAAAACACCCACGTGACCACCACTTTCCCGAAGGCCTTCCGGGCCTGGTTCCTGCGTATCCTGCCTACTCAGTTTCATGAATACTGCTGTATGCGCTTTGAAGTCCTCGGCTGCACAATTAATAAGTAAAGTCTGTCGAGATTAGCTTGGGAAACCTAACTCCAGTGATCACTTGAAATTCGACAAATTGGAGCGGGGTCATAGACATGTGGTGTTAAATGTTAAGAGTGCTTTAGTAAAAACAAAAAGGCACATATGAATTGTTGCAGCTACAGAGAAACATACATAACGACCTCAAAAATCCTTGCTCAAAATGAAGACTGGTTACAAATTCCCTGCCTGAGATGTTATCAATCGGTAAACAAACCTGAATTGAACCTGGGCACAAAAAGTGTGCATTTTCTCTCTTTTTTTTCTGTCAAAATGTATAGTATTGGTATGCGCCCTACATCAGAGTTAGAGCGATTGTGTTGCTCAAACAGATGGGGGGGGTGCACTTAATCCGATGTACTTTCAAACATGCCCCCCACACACAAAACAAATAATAATAATAATGTTCACTTCATGTGCCCTGGACTCCGAACCAGTCAAAGTTTGAATTGTCAAAATTGTTATATTACCATTAGAGGTGGGTTTTCCCATGCTACATTTATGCTGGCGAAAGAAATCGGTTGGATAAAAACTAATGGTTCACAGAAACTTAAATTTACCTATTTTTCGATTTTGTTTTCCAGAATTATTTAGACGGCGGAATCAGTTATACATCACATTGTTAAATTGTGTACTTGGATACTGTAATTTCATTTGTCTAGGACGGCCACATGTTTGGGGACGTATTCACAAAACTCAAATTTAAGAGAATACTTGTCACAAATGAATCTGAACACCCCGCTAACTTAAGTGGGGCGCTTAATTTGGTATTCACGAAAGATCTAAGCACCCCAATTATGTTAGTGCTCAACTTAACTTAAAGCTAAAGTCCATCATTTGCAGCTATCCAAAACGTTACTGACGTAATTATTGTTAAAAAAACATACTTGGTTGAAAGATAGTAATGGGACTAAAACCCCTGTGAAATTACTCCTTCTTGCACGCTGTCATTTTGAAGAAATCAACGAAAGAATGCCTTTCCAAAGACGCATCGTTGGAAATGTCCGTTACCAGTTTTTTTTTAGTTTTTTTGGGTATTCGGCGAAGCGCGCAAGCGTTGACACGACGCACACGCGCGGTTGCTTTAATTCGCCGGATCAGTGCGCGACATCGCGTAGCTGCAATCGGCTCAGTGAGATTGTGTCTCGGACGTTGAATTCAGGCTCAATTCAAAACATGATTCAGCAACTTTTGATTCGGAAATCGAGATTCTAGAATGTTGTTTTTTTTTCTCGAAATATACAGCTGAAGCCGAGCTGAAACTTCATCAGGTTAGTTGTTCAGCACCCTTCTTTAGATTTTGAGCACATGTGTTGCTTCAAATGAACATAATGCAAAACATACAACTGTTGGACTGTACCTTTAGTGTTCAGAGCAATCACTCTTAAGCTTGCTCATGCGCAAAACATGAACGTCATAAATGTTCCCACGCAGCAGCAGTTCAATCACATGAATCGTCACCGTTTTCACGAAGAGGCGAATTTAGTATTTCACTGTCTGAACAAACATTCGAGATAATCGCGTTTAAAGTTGGTATTTTATTCATTTGACAATTTGAAACTTAGAGATGCATAAAATATGCAAGATTTACGTTTCAGAGGAAAGAAGAGCTTCTAATCTTCCTAAATGTAGCAAACTTTAAGAAAAAAGGTGATTAGTTTTGCAGAATTAATTAATTAAGAGAAGAGGCTGTTCGTGAAAACGAAAAAAAGACCAATTAGCTAATTTGCCCCTTGGTGAAAACGGCAAAACGCTAAAGTGACTACGCGCAGATTTCGCCCTTCTGCCGTCTGAGTCAATGCATTTTGTGTACAGTACGCGCAGATTCTGCCCCACTGCGCATGCGCCATGAAATTCGCCCCTTCGTGAAAAGGTTGTATTGCACGTGCATGGAATTCACCCCTTCGTGATATACGCGCTATTTTATTACAATGTATTTATTTACTGAAAATTTTATTAATACCATAGAGTGCGGAAATTTGCCCCAAATTCGCCCATTCGTTAATTAGGTTAATTAAGATTGTATTTTTTTTTTGAAGGTATAGCCTCACTAGGTTGTAGATATTGATATCTTTATTCATTTTCACCATTTTTTTTTCTCGAAAAACAGACGATTTTCATGAAATTCGCCCCTTCGTGAAAACGGTGACGCAATAATGAGCGTGTTTCCTCAACATAATCATGTGTGCGCGTGTTCTGCCACGCAGTTTCCAAGCCCGTCTTTTTTATTCTTTATCTAAGTAACAAACGGAAAATGTCTGCGTCACGCGCGTGTCCAACGTGTTCGTCATGCACATCGTATGCAATCAGTGCATGCATTTCATAGCTTTTTTTCCCCAACAACTAAAAGTGAAATGTTCGTTTTATTTACTATCGAGTGTGAAACAAGTTGTGATTTATTCGCATTCTATCATACATGCTGGAAGGTAAGAGACATGTTTTATTCATTTTTTTTATTTTATAGACTGCAGTTACTTAGTAGGACTGTGCATGCCATTGGTGTCGTCAATCGCACTCGCGCTGCCCGCATAAAGATCAACAAATCGATCGAAATAACTGTTAGAATGTCGACGAATCACAATCCAAGGGTTGTCAAAATTTAATTTCAACTTGGCTTTCCTTTTACAATAATTTGCTATTGACGATATTTTCCTCGACCCCCAGAAAGTCCAAGTTTATGCCTACAAATTATAAGCCAACGGAAAGAAATAAAGCCGCCATGACTTGACACCCTAGTGCCCCACTTTTACTTGATTTGAGACAGGTCCGTGTGGAACCTGCCGCGGCGCCTAACTTTGCGCAATGAGAACTGCAACGTCAAACGCTCATTCCGGAAGGATATCAAAACCTTCATTTAAAAAATGGTTACATCACAGTGATTTAATTTATTTCTCAGACAGTAAGTTATTTTACTAGGCTATTGGTACGATATAACAAAACAACTGTTGACTGTTGTGATGTGGAATATGCTGTTTTACCACCTCAGGGCGCATAGCACTCTCGGCTTCGCCTCGGGTTAAGCTTGGTCTATAGCTTGGTCATGATCTTTCGGAAGGTCACCGGAGGTTAAATATGAGATGTCATATTTATAAACATCCTGTTCATAGTATGGACACCTACATGTACCATTTAAATTTGGATCGTTTAAAAGTTTGGTTTTAAAAGAGTTAACATAACAGATAGCTAGAAATAAGGTTTACAAAGGTCACCGACCTCTCAAAGGTCATCAGAGGTCAGATATGAATTGTTCCCAAATCAGATCATGATTTTCAATGTACAGCGACATATGGCGTAGATTTGGGTCATAGGAAAGTGAAGTTTTGAAGAATAATTGTTATTTATAGTAGTATGTACTCTCAAAGTTCACCAGAGGTCAAATTTGAAATGCCTCTCATGAACATTTCTTCATGGCATGAAGAACCAACATACAAAATTTCATGCTTTTATCACAAAGTGCACAATTCTGGAAATATTGGTGCTATGCCACTCTATTACGAGGTGTGAATGCTGTATATAGTTGGCAATAAGTAAATCCACTTCAGGTTGTTTGTATGTTTGGGTTTCTGTTCGTATACTTTGGCTCTCTACATCAACTGCGTCACATTCTTGTTAACAAAATATATTCATAATACCTAAGTCATGTATTAGTATTAGCGATGCGGCTCTCAAAAAATCAGTGGTTGATCACAAATGCTTGATTTAGAGTATAGGTGGCCCGTTAAGGCCTAAATATCGACAAATTTAAGTAACTTACCAGACTTTCCAAACTGTTGATAGTCTGATGTTATTAAGTGTTCCGAGCAGACAACATCACCTAGAGACGGCCACCACGACCTTCCTGTGTCATTTTTCACCGTCGTATGGCCACTCGCCAAGTATTACACCTCTTTCTTTCCCTTGGATATTCATGTCTTCCTCTTACTTAACACTGCGGCACATTACATGGAGTATTCGTCATGATTTTATTTGACAAGCGAGTGAGTTTCTACAGCAAGCCAAGTCGAAAACCGTCGTTGATACGCAATAAACAAGCAACTTTGGACGATGATTTTTTCTTCTTATTCTGGGGTTTACCCGGTAAGGGGCGCCCTCTAGCTCTCTCGGTGAAAGTCTCCCATTGGTTGTGTTGCAGTAAAAGTCATGTTACTTCGTACATTGGCTAGTGGAAGCTAATGATTATAAAGACGTTTGCAGGTGAAACATTTGATTTGGATGTGGTGTTAGCTCCGAGCCCAGTTACAATACGGTGTGTATTTAAGTCTTCGTCGAGAGTTCACAAACATAGCAATTGAGTGAACATGTTTGTAATGTTCAAATCGGATTCAGCACGTTCTACAATTGTTCGCACTTGTCTTGAGTTTGCAATTTCATTCCCGCAATTCTAGGATTAAGATTTGGCAATATGTAGTTGTGAAGATTCCCGCACTTAAGGATTGAATCACCGTAATTTTCAATTGTAAAATTTCAATTCGTTTGGCGTGATGTATTTCATGGGTAGTTCATTTAGCATCGAGATATTTAACCAGAGATAGCTTTAGACGAGCTTTTCATAAAGATTGGTTGTGCTGGGTTTGATTAAGATCGGTCAAGGTCTGCTTAGTTTAAGGCATTATGTTTCTTACCCTTCCAACCCTGATGCTAAGAAAATGCATCTAAGCTCAATCAGAGGCGGTTCCAATAACTGGGATACTGATGAGAGAGCGCATCCCTAAATGTTCACTGTTAACCTTTTTTTTCGTATTGGGGACATGCCAAAAATCGAGAAAAAAAAATATCGGTGGCAGTGGGTTCTGGGAAGGGGTGCACTGCCCCCCCCCCCCCCCCCCCCGTAGCCCACGGAGTATAAGAATGCAGAAACATAAATGCTGTGTGACTGTGCATGATTTATTGGAGAGAACGCGTGGGCACAATAGCCTTTTGTTTTGAGGTAATCGCTTGTCAACGCATTGCTATGGTGACTTGATCGAAGATGCAAGTTGGTCGATAAAACATGAGAACCACGCTGCAGCTACAGACATGAGCACAATTGGAACATTACACCATTGCAAATCACCGTACGTCAAAACAAAAATCTCGATAAATATGTTTTGGTGACTTGAATTACGTTTATTTGATTTGGAAACCTGCTCGGAGACGAGGAGTAATCGAGCGGGCCAGAAGCGTAGAATACAAGTGACTGTCAATACGGTCGGGGTTCAAATAAAAAAAATGCCTGATGCAGTGGAAACATTTTTTTTTTTTTTAATACACGTTATTCCATATCTGTTCTGATACAAATGTTATCACTTTGCGGTTGTTACAATCTTTGTGAGCAAGTGTTTGTAGCAAATGCCAATCGCGCGTTAAGTTGTAAATGAACGCTGGAATGTTCACTTTCTGTACCAGACATTAGAATTGTCAGAACAAGACAGCAAAACGCGTCGTAATGCTATGTCAGCTCATTGGTGAAAATATCTAAAAGGTATTCTAGCCAAATTCCTGAAGAGAAGCGACTCTTTTTTTGGTAATTAAAGGGAAGATACAACATTTGCATACATAAAAAAAACCAAAATGATCAAATTATCACGAAATACCTTACTGGATTGTTAGGGAATGACAGTCTAGAGCATCCTGTAAAATCGTGGCTCCTGGTGTGCTGACATTTCCAAGAAAAATTGTATTTTTCCAGCGCTGGTCGGCCGACCAGCGTTGGAGAAAACTCATTTTCAAAAACTGCTCCTAAGTTTTCATATTTAGTTATTACGCATGTTCTTTGCAATTGATTACACACATGTGAAGAGGTACAAGCCTGCCAGACTGATTCTCTGACCTTACAATTCTCCAAAGTCTACAAATTGCTCCGTTTCATCTTAAGTGGGGTAAGGAAATCCGGACTACAAGAACATGATTGGTTTTCTTGGTTTTTCCAGCATCCACGAGTTCAAAACGTGAAACTAATCAGTTTAACAATATTTCCTATAACATTCTAATCCTCTAAATCCATTTACTTCTGAAAATTGCAGCAAAAGCAAATGTTGTACATTCCCTTTAAAACGGAGCAATGCTTTTCTAGAAAAAAAAAAAGGTATTGGAGACATGCCAAGGATCGAAAAAATATCAATGGAGGTGGGTTCGGGGGGGGGGGGTTGCACTGGGACCCCCCCCCCAGCCCACAGAGTATAAGAATGTAGAAACATAAACGCTGTGAAACTGTGCATGATTAATTGGAGAGGACGAGTGTGACATAATAGCCATTTCTTTTGAGATAGACGTTGCTATGGTGACGTGATCGAAGATGCAAGTTGCTCAATACAACAAGATAACCACAGCTGCAGCTACAGGTTTGGTCACAATTGGAAATATACATCATGTTTATTACCCGTGCGTACAAACAATTGTCGCAATTCATAGGTCTTTGTGACTTGAATCAAATTTACCTGTTTGGAAGTAATCGAGCAAGCCAGAAGCTTGGAATACCAGTGACTGTCAGTGCGGTAGGGGCTGATATCAAAACTGCATTGTACGGTGGAAACAGTTGTCTGTGTAAATAGACCTACACGATCTGCTTTGTTGAAATTTTATCACTTTGCCTTATCGGAAACAATGGAGGAGGTGCGGGCTTTGAGTCACTCAAGTAGACAGGTACTTGTCACCGGTCTGTGGTTTTATACTTTATTTTCAATCTTGCCCGCATCCCAAGGAACCGCTTGTGGTCATGCACTCTCACAGGAATTCAATGCTGCTGAAAATCGAACACTGAGAAATGCCACAATTTGGTCGGGTAGAGTTGATACTCTTGTCGGCTGTGTGAGCCGGTGCCACTCTTGGCAGATCAATCAATTACTTCAAGAGAGATCGCAAGTGTGAATTGAACAATGAAACCAAAGTCTCTGCCCCAAATAACTAGGTCGTAGACTACGCGGGCGTGTACTTCGATGGTTTGTACAGCGATTGCTGGAGTTTACTGAAGGCAGGTTACAGTGTGACCGGTATGTATACGATATTCCCCGCGGGATTTGCAGATGGTCTGAAGGTGTACTGCGACATGGAGACCGACGGTGGAGGCTGGCTTGTCATTCGGAGGCGTCAGGATGGCAGTGTCGACTTCTACCGCGGCTGGGCTGACTACCGCGTGGGCTTTGGTGAGTTGGCTGGTGAGTTTTGGCTCGGCAACGACAACTTGCGCACCTTGAGTAATTCTACTGGATCTTGGGATCTTCGAATCGATTTAGAGGACTGGGATGGCAACACAACCTGGGCCGAGTACGGAGGTTTTCAAATCTCTGGACAGGATTTTCGTCTGAGATTTGGTTCGTTCAATGCGGACAGTACGGCTGGAGACTCTCTGACTTACCATAATCACTGGCCGTTTTCAACAAAGGACGCAGACCATGACCGTTCCCATATGAACTGCGCAGAGAGGATGGCCGGAGCTTGGTGGTACAAGGCGTGTTATCATTCAAACTTGAACAGTGTGTATTTTCCTTCATCCCGTGAACAACCCGGAGACTATCGAGGTATTATTTGGGTTGCATGGAGGGGTCTTTTTTACTCCTTACAAAAATGCAGTATGAAGATTCGACTGGCAATGTAAGTCAATTACTGAAGGAATCAAACCACTTTGTTCTATTTAAATTGAGTAACCAATAAAAGGATAAAATACCATTTAACTCTAAAAGGGCAGGATTATTTTGACCATCTCTCAGCGGGGAGGGGGGGGGGAGTGACGAACAAATATGAAACTCGGTACATGCAGAGAATAACTTACCATAAATATATACCCAAGCAATTTCATGACTATAGGTAACAGGTTTTTGGAATTATGGCTAATTAAGTAATCATATGCACGAATGGTATTTTTGCTTTGTGTACACTACGTATATTATGGGAAACTCAGTTTTCACGGCGCGTAAAATGTTTCACTGCGCGGCAACCCGTGGTCCGAATTTTTGTTTTTGGTATCAAAAGATGCGCAAGACTCGAGGCTAAAAAGTCAAAACAGCTCGGATCGCGATCGGCTCTTTTTGGTTTAATGTGAACTAAAAACAATAATCGTATCGTTTGTTTGTAAAAAAAAAATTCACAACACCAACTTTTGAAAATACCCTAATTGGTACTCCTAAATACACTAGGATGTAAACGTTATTCAAGACATGTCAAATATGTTAATGCAAATTCCCTGTCAAAATGTTTATTGATACATTTCAACTTGCACCATCTTGTGGCATTATCCCCAGTTCGTCATTCTTGAAAACTAATTACCGATTAAGGTCAAGGACGTTGGACCGTTTGCAAACTTAACTCAATTCGGTCAATTGTGGCAGTATTTGAGAAAACTTAGCTTGGTCTGAACATTATTCTTTGTCGTTTTCACGAAGGGACGGGCATGTCAAAAATAACATTTTTTTTTTCTGTTTCGATTTGTTTTAAATCTTTTTCTTTAAAACATCGTTCTTGACCATTTTTGACATGCTTCTGTGAGCAAAACGTCAGTAATTTCTAAAATACATTAATGATGCCAGGGGCAAGCATCTCGATAATTGCATTTGCGTTTTCACGAAGAGACGCCAACGTGCCTGTCGACTGAGATTTTCGTTTTCACGAAGGAACGGGCATCTTTGTCACATTCTGAGCTGCGCGTGCGCAAACACTCGCCCGCTTTCATATGGAAAAACACATTTAACAGAAAGGGCGTGTATTCTTATCCAATCTGACTTGAACAATTGTTATTACATGAAGACTTGTAGATGCAGTTTTACAAAAACAAACCTAATAATTTTCTTAAATAACATCAGAGCTTTTTAGACAAGTATAATCATGGTCGTGCTATTTACATCGAAGGATTCAATTTATTTTGAAACTATAAACAAATCGATCTCGATTCATCTCCAATCTCTTACCTTATTGAAACGTAACATACATTGAATAGACATAATGTGTACTATATAACCATGACTTGATTAAACCACGTGTATATGCTTTGTGAATTAAAAAAAAAGTTGATTATGATTGTTTTAGAATCTTAAAGAAGCCAAAACTTGCTTTCGATTGAAATCCGCTAAACAAAATAGTAACAAAAGCAGAAGCTGTTTGGCTGACTTGCCGAAACAGCTCGACCACCGAGCTAACGGGATCGGTTGGCGGGTTCGAATCTGATGTACATAGCAGCGGGTACCGCATCAACTATTCATAAGATGGAATTTTTGCGTCGGGATGATGTAAATCAAATTATGTGTTTGCCCTTCACCGACGTATAAACACTGTATCCTTGGTTAGCCTGTGCCACTCTTGGTCATTTCCTATATTATTATTTGCCAGAACAACTGCAGATGCAACCTCTTTCCTAAGGCTTATTTCGTTTTCAACCTCGTTTCCAATAGTTAGCCTTGGGATGGGAATTTGCTTCCTGTATCCTGATTCGATAGCGCACTTAGCAAAGTGATTGATTTATAACAAGTACTTGGTTTTGTTATTTCTAACGTGCATTACATATGTTCACGTTTAACGCTATTACTACGTCCACACTTTCTAAGAAATAACCTTTGAAACATGAAATGTGACACTGCTTATTGGCTGGATAAGATTGTCACATTTTAACTTTGAACAAAAATCGTGTTTTCGTTACTCACAGCGCGACGAATTGATTCTTTATTTACCCCAGACACCACATGCAAAAACAAACGCTGATGTAAAGCACAGGCAGGCATGAGACTATTCACATTTGCATACGTATCAAAACAATATGTATGTATATAAATATTAATCCTGTGAAAAACAGCGAGACTATCGAGGTCTTACTTTGGATTCATAGAGGAGTCTTTGGTAATCCATGAAAAAACAATTGAGGATGAAGATTCGATGGGCATATAATTACTGAAACGATTTGAACCACTTTGTCTGAAAAGAGATTGACTTCTCCGTTATCGTGAAATTAAAACGACGGATTGTGTTCTTACAAAAGGGTACTAACAACGCAAAATCTGTCAAATGCGTTATGTTGTAAGCGTTGTTCAAGACGTGTCATGCAACAGCTCGCGCACCTTGAGTAATTCTGATGGATCTTGGGATCTAAGAGTTGATCTGGACGAATTGGGGGGCAACATAGCCTGGGCCAAGTGAGGAGAATTTCAAATTTCAGGACAGAATTACAGTTTGGTATATCACTCTCACAATAAGAAAAGTACTGCCGGTGACTCTCTGTCCTTACACAACGGTTAGTTTTTTTTTTTTAACAAAGGATGAAGATAATGACAAGCTAAATTAGTTCGATGAGAAAGTTGGATAGTGGTACAATATTTGCTCTGATGCAAACCTTAACGGATTCTTTTTTTTAAATTAAATCTGGGAAGTACCCAAACGACTACCGAGCCATTACACTGACTTCGTAGGAAAATGGAACTTACTCCCTAAAAAAGTGCACTATGAAGACTCGGTTGGCTATAATTATGATTTATTTTCAAGAAGTATTCAGAACACTAAATTGTGTACATGGAAACAATTTTTTGTAGCTCTCAAATTTTCTTTGACGCGCTGTTTGTTTTCTCTTTCTGCGAGAGTTCAAAATGCAATGCAATATGCGTGCTGCCTGAAACTAGTCATGTTTTTTTTTTTCCTTTCAGAAATGTGTGCCTTAATACCGTGACGTTTCAATTTACACAGTGCCGTAATTTCTGATATTTAAAAAACACGATGCGAACATTTTTTTCTTTTAAATAAGGGAGTAAATGAGTGCTTGGGAGGTGTTAAACATTATGTTTTAAAGACTGGTTGGAGTCTGGAATGCTGATACATAAATTCCCTTTTCGGTTAAATTTTTGTTTCTCTGTCCACAAGTCAAAACAAGTCAAAATTAAAATTTCCAAGGATTCAGTTCAACCATTTTACTTTCTGTTTTTCGAAACACTCCTCTAGGTATAATAAGGTGTGTCTAGCTCGCGAGTAAGACGTCAATAACTCCTTTTAATTTGATGGAGATTTGCGCACTCATAGGCTGTGGTGAGTGCGTTGAGAATTTTGGACTATGAAATACTGACTCACTGGTAGTATTGCGCATGCCTACATGAGGATTGTGAGCATTCAACCAATAAAACGGTAAAAGTCATTGAATTTCATTGGAGTCCAAATTTCATGTGACACTGGAAAAGTGTTTAAGACCAGCCAGCCATGTCTGTATCATCCGTTTAAGACCGGGTTCGTGACGGGCACTCGACCAATGGGAATGGGTAAACTGCCTTAGGTATTTATAAATGTTTGTTTTAGCGATATAAGAAAACTGTAGTTTGGACTAATTTTGAAAGTTATTTTCTTAGTTTCTTTTGACAGGTGAAATAACTTTGTTTTGACGATGTTGTATTATTGATCAATTAACCTACGTATTAATTAAAGTTGTTTTAGAACCTTAAAATGACTTTTGAAAACGCAGAATTTTATCGCTTTGTAATTTGTAATTAGATGTCAATGTTTTGCCTATTAGTACCGTCACACGTAAACTTTGATTGACATATTGCTGTAGTTGTTCGTGTTTTGAAATACATTTAGTAAAAATGCACACTCTACGTGAAGCTTGTTTTAGTGGTACATTATATAACAATTTAATAACTGTTGTTATTTATTACTCTTCTTGATTGAGTGTGGTGTGGAACCTTAAAATTGACGTTGACAATAGTTATCGCTTTGATGTTTTGTTTGAATTGATCTCTTTTGAACCAAACCACTTTGGTGATCCTGCTTTCAAAACTGATCTTCAAAATGATGTAAAGTGGTTTGGGTTTTTTGGATAGTGTTGTAACTGATTGTGTCGAAACACATTCCGGTTTTTTCTGAATTTGTTTAGTGGTAAATAACTTTTGAAACTTTGCATGACAGTAGAGGGTGGTTTGCGGTAACACCATTAATAAAGAATCTCTTTTGAGAAGATGCGCAAGTCTGAAAAGAACGGGCTGGCTTTTCAGAATACATCTTCTCAAAAGAGATTCCTCCACTGTCATTGTGTTACTGCATACTCCCAGCTTGTGGTTTAGTGGTAATGCTCGATGTGCATGATTATTGTATTTGCTGGCTAGTTTAACGCTGTATGGTACATCCATATTACATCCGTAGTGATAGTACAATTACGTTTGGTATTTGCATTATGTCATTTTGATAGATCACTTTTAAGCCTTAAAAACACTAAATGATACTTAGTAACCGTATTCATAGTTCGAAAAATTACATACGCTTGGCTGATGTTACGTTTTATATTTAGCTGAAACGGACCTTTCCTTGTCGAAAAGAAAACGGTTATTGATTACTCGTTTTGTAAATTTTGTATGTGAGTGATTATAGTGTGTTCTCGCTATTTTAACGATGTATGATATATTCATATTACTTCGTCTGTGATGGTAGTGTGTATTTGATATTTAAATGAAAACGTTGAGATAAAAAACAAAACAAATGGAATATGTATTTACATTAGTAAATTTTGATAGAGCACTGTTTAGTCTCGAAACCACTTAAGAATATTTAATCACTTATAATCGTTATTCAAAACATTGCGTGTGGTAATAAATGTCACATTTTAATTTTATCTCCTGCAAAAATTATTTCAACAAGGCTTGACTGTAGTCAGATGATATGGAAATGATCATTAAAGGTGTATAGCGAAGTTACTTAACTCAACTTGATTTCAAATTCGCATATATATTGATGAACATTATTACTGAATCATTTTCGGCCACCAAGTCGTGTTTTAAAAGCACATACTCGTTGACCAAATTCGTCACCGTTTTAGGGATGGGCATGTGGATTTGAAGATTTTTTTTCTCGAGAAAATCACGAGAGAAGACTCTCCTATTTTCAATCTGCGAAAGAAATACTTCTAACAGTTTGTAGACAGTGATCCCAACACAAAAACGTTATACCTGCCTCTGCCAGTGCAGGGTAACTTCCTCAATCAATGACACTATTGGAATATTAAACATATTACATTAAACGAAACAAATCACACAATCAATGAAAAAAAAAAATAAGAAAATAACACCTCTAGCTCTGAACACATCCATTTAATTTGGATTCGACAAAAATACGGTACATTATGGAAATTTGGTAAAGTTACGCTCTTATTCCACAATCTCTGAAGACATGTCTTATGCAAAAACTTGCTTTCAATATATTTTTGTAAACTTGTTTTAGCACTATCGATCAAGTTGAATTTACTCTTAGTAACTTGGTGTTGTACTTACAATGTACTCTACTCTGACGAAGTCACGCACTTTTTAACAATCGGATTCTAAACGACACATATATCAGAAGTTTTAACTTATCAGCTATACATGTATTCTCTCTTTGAATTCCTTCTCACTGATATTGAAAAAAGGGGAAGCTCTGTAAACAACCTCACAAAAGATGGTGAATTTCTTTTTCAGCTATTTTTTTCCCCAAAAAACTATTGTAGGAGCAGAACTGAGAGATGTTTTCCTGAGATATACTAGTTCACAAAACTATTCTGCTGTAGTGTTTAACATACCGATCGATTTTATCTAGCTAATAAATAACCTGCGAACCGTAAACCTGATCATTTCTAATGGGACAAAACTAGAATGAAGAATTTTTGGCATCCTGATGAGAAATAATGACACAAAGCTAGCATATAACATGAACAAAGTATCACAGCCGGCACTCATTGCGTGCGAAATGTTTCTGGCTATGTCAATAGAGGGCGCTGTGTTTTCTTTCCTTTTGTTTCTTTTGTTTCTTATGGGAACAAGTTACTTCAGCAAACACTTGTGACGAGTCATCAGCTATACGTTTTATATACACCAACGTAAACTGTGTATTGACATTTCTTAGTACTCATGCTAGAATATATCCGAATCCAATTGTCCAGCACTGTTAGTAGGCGTGGCTTTAGTCATCTACTGAGCAATATTGTGTTTTTATTGGTCAATGCATCTTCTGTTTTTTAGCATCAAGGGCGGAACCAGAACAGAATTTTTTTTGGGCCCCCCCAAAAAAAAATGGTCCCCCAAAAAAGTGGGTCACAAAAATTACGGCGTGGGGTTCGGGGCCCCTTAAGGGCCCCGAACTTTTTTGGATTCTAGATGCTCTGTGGTGCAATCTGGGGCAATTTCTGACCACTTTAATCAATGCTTTTTTTGAGGAAAAGATGGTGGTGTACTCATTGCCTGCCTTTATTGCGATGTCACATAAACAAAAAAAATTGGTTTCGTTTTTTTTTTTTTTTTTTTTTTGGGGGGGGGCATGGCCCCCTTTCCCCCCCCCCCCCCCCCTGGATCCGCCCTTGTTAAGCATTGATGTGCATTTATTGTAAACAAATGTATGGGGATCATGTTGGCCTATAAGGATGAGAGAATAAACCTCACTTCTTCGCTTAGGTGGGACCAAAGAAGTCAAACAAGTCTCCTGTCTGCTTTTTTGTCTAACTGTTGCTAATAAGCGGTGTAGTCTCCACCGATCAGCGACCGGTGAGCCACCCATAGCCACCCAAAACCACCAAAAGCAACAAGTGAGCCACCCAAAGCCACCTGTCAGCCACCATGATCCACAGGTACTCCACCCATTCCACATGTCAATCCACAGGGATATCCTGCCAATCCACTCAATCACACCTAGGTCCGCTGCTTCAATGCTCCCAAGTGGTATCTGCGCCGTTCACAAGTACCCCCTCACCGGCAAAGAAATTACAGTTGGGGGTGACCGACCGACGCCATCTTGCCTGACTGCAATTACATAGTACAAATCCCCTGGTGTACGTGCGTCTTACACAAGGAACGGTGCGCCAGAACCAGTTAAATGTCCCGCCCATTGGAAGTCGTTGCTAGGTAAAAGGGCGCCCTCTTTTGTTGGCGCACAGAGCCCATAGAATTTGGAGTGTTGGACGTCACTCGGTGCTGTGGCCTACAACCGCAGGTGCTTAAACTCCATCTGGACCTGGCCAGGCAGGCAGCTAGGGAAACTACTTGGTGACGCACGTTACACAATGCTCTTTAATCTCCGTGGGATCCTGTTCCTCTATTTAGCATTATAACTTGAGCGGCTGACAGCCCTGTAATAGGCGACCTCAATACTAAAACAGTTAATCAAAGCATCAATTTTCCCGTGGACTGGCCTCGTCGTCCCTTAATTACCCGAATTGATTAATGGTGGAAGTGACAAATATATATTTACACAATTCATCAAAGAAAGCGGTCCGGTAGTTCTCTAAGTGACAGCCAGATATAACAATAATAACTATCTTTGCCGCACCAATTAATTCCTCATTATAGCTTCAATCAACCTTAACATATTTTATTCTTAAAAAGACAAGCTAATTGACGAATTTGGCACCGAAGCCGAGGGCTCCAGTGCACTTTTGGTTGAGAGGATACAAACAAACAGTTTCTCAATTTATACAATGGCTTAGCACCGAGAGCGTTGTGCATTAGACCCTAGCTACTCGTCTTGGTACTTGCAATTCAGGACTTATTACATCCTTTTACAGTTGTACGATTATTCATCAGACATCCATTATTAGTTATGCTATTTAATTGCCAAAACCCGTTTAAAAATCTTTCAGCTCCCTAGAATAAAACATTAGTCCTTCACACTCTCACAATGGCACCATCCAAACGTCATCTATGTCGTATGACCAAGCATGGTCAAGTGACGAGTCACGTGAGGACCTCAACAACCCCAGTTGATAAAGACATCTTGATGGTGTCGCAAGCTTCTGATATGGGCTCTGTTACTCGTGTCCAAAAAGGTACCTTTTATTTACTTGATTTGATAATGGGACTGGAACTTTCAAGCTCGGTTAACTATGTTATTTCTGTGCCTAGAAAACCAGCCGTGAATAGCTGTCTTAAGAGCTTGCCTGAATGTCTTGTATTTTAACTGGTATGTGTTGGGGTTGACATAGCAGACAAACGCACAAAGTGTCCTAACGTACTTGGTCCTCCTTGCACAACAGAAAATAAGTTGACCATCTTCTAGTGTGCGCGAGCTGAGCAGAAAACGTACCCATACTGGTCCATGAGAGCTCCGAAGACGATTGTAAGCATGATGACTAGACGCTGTCTGGTATTCACATGATAGGCTTCCGCCTTTTCATGTTGCAGGTTGAGGGTTTTGGGTTGTCGATTAAGAGTGACTTGTATTTTGTAGTTGGCTAGACTCATCAGTGTTAAGGGCAAAAAGTAGGCCATGACACAATTAAATAAATGCAAACGTGTTGCAAAAAGTGTAATTTATGATATTGTGACCGATGAGGGTATGTATTGAGGCTCTGAAGGGACATCGCAAATTGTGAATATGGACGTAAATGTTCACGGCAACCAAAATACGGCTCGCTCTTAAGTCGGGAATATTGACTGCAATATTCGAGTCAAAAAAAAATCACGTCTTGATTTTCGGTCGCAAATATCGACATTAATATTCGCGTCAACAAAGATCGCTTTCCGGTGGCAAAATTGTGTATGCGATTTGTTTTTCCAGCAAGCTTGGTGTTCCGGACCGCTTTGTGAGCGGCTGTTTTAAAATCTCAACTCAAGACGAGGCCCGGCTTTAGAGAACATTTTTTTTAGGCACTCATACGGTCTTTTATAAAACGAATGCACACTGTCTTGGACAAAGATGATTATTATGTCACTGACAAACCTTCACGTATTTTCTTTTTGAATTAGTGTAATTTATTTGGGAGCGGACGATTTATAAAGTTGACTGAAAGCTATAATAAAGAATTGATGAGTGTTGCAAAAGATGGCAATAAACTAAATGTGTGTTTGTCACTCAGAGAGCTGCCGCACCGCCTGCGATGATAAATTGAGTAAAGAAATGTTGCATCACAGTACGTAATTCTCCCCATCTAACATGTGGGGTTAGTTAGTGGAGACGAGGCGGCTTCACGAAGAACGCAGAAACGCAAAGACTTACGTCAACGGTATGTAAACAAGTTATTAAAGTTTCATAAACTTTTAAAGTTATTACGAAGAAGTTTTATGATGCGTTAGAACACTTGATTAACAGTTATAAGCGAAGGGAATCAACGGTTAAGTACTCTGTAGCAATAAAGAAGGTAGGCTATTGTAGCTCAATGAGTGACAAACAGAGTTATAGATAATAATTGTCTTTGCAACATCAATCGTCTCCTGACAGTTTTCATTTAAAAAAATTCTTAAGTAATCTTCCCACATCAAATAAAAGAGGTTGACAACGGGTAGGGCGCCACACGAAGCATCAGTTGCCCACAGTGAGGCAACAAAGGCAGATCGCATTGCAGCGCTGTAGTAAATGTTGGCGACTATCTTCGTACAATATATTAGTTTAAGGTGTTTCCTGATGGGTGGACAGACACACTATCATTGACATGTCGTTAAAATACATGTGAAGTACAGGTGCAAGTCGCCATTAGTGTATCCAAAACCGCAGTTTTCGTACACACTAAGTAGAAGAATCACCGTCCCTCGAGGTGAAACGACTCACATTTGAGGGACAAACAGTCACTGATTTGTGTTACACTCCATAGACAGCAACAGTAACTCTCTCCACTTTGCAAGGGCTACAAAGGAATGCTTCTTGTGAGACAGTTGAATCCATTATTAGAGCGTCCTAATAAAACTACTAACCGTACGCACCAATTGTATATAGATTAGCATCAACACACATTTTAACCATGAATGCCACTGATGAACACAATGAGGAACCAACTGGAAAGAAGTGGGTGTGCCAGGTCATGGCAGCAGAAGGAGTTATTGGTGTCTTAGGAAACTTACTAGTGTGTTACGTCATCCTACGAGTCAAATTCTTACACAACATGACGAACTACCTGCTGGTGAATTTGGCCGTTGCTGATATGCTGATGTGTCTGCAAGAATTTCTTTATTATCTAACATCAGACTGTAACCTTATTGCTTTTGCTCCAGTTAGCATCGGCGTGAGAGACTTGTTCTGCCGACTTCTAGCATCAAAGTATTTGGCATTGGTGTTATCCTTTGCCTCTGCCTACAATCTCTGTGTGGTTACATTAGAGAGGTACATTGCCATAGTACACCCTCTACACTATGCGAGGAAACTCACAACAGCAAGGATGGTTGCTATAATTACATTGGTGTGGGTGATATCATTTCTGATATCTTCACCTACTCTATTCACATTCGAGCCAAGCAATGACCCCGATGAGATGTGCTCAATCAAATATCCTCACCCGTCATTACCTATTCTACTCAGCATATTTATATTTCTCTTCACATATTTGCTGCCCCTAACATTGATGAGTTTGGCCTATTATAAGATGCAGGTCACTCTCAAAATACAAGTCAAAGCCCTGAACCTGCAACATGCAAAGGCAGCAGCCTATGAGCTATTGATTGCTAGACAGAACCTGGTCAGCATGCTTAAAACTGTCTTGGGAGCTCTCATTGTCTTATGGACATTGGAATATTTTGCTGTCCTTCTCTGCTTGCATCGAACAGATGATGCTCAGTTCTTGTTCTGTGGATCTCAGGGCTTCTACTATACCAGAGTTTTCGCTAACTTACTGTTTAATTTCAATTCAGTTGTCAATCCTTTCATCTATGAGTTTAAATACAAGAAATTCAGGCAAGGCCTTAAAGTAGCTTTCTGCTGCTGCTTCAAAAGGCCTGGTGGTGAAAGAGTTGGACTTGAGATGGTACCATTATGACTTTTGAGAACAATATTATCTGGCTATATTTATGCAATGACAGTATTGGTAAAACATTTAACATGTATCATGTCTAGTCCTGCGGATATGCTTAACAATTGTGAAATTTTGCCTAAAAGCTTGAAACTTTGCACAATGGTTTATATCCAGGAGAATAAATGCTTTAGAATGATAGCCATCGCAAGCTTCCCTTTGAGGGGTGTGGCATCTAGCTGAAGAATTGAGGGGCTCATTACGCCAACCTTTCAACAAAATTATGCCCACCTTTCACATTTTATGCAGACTTATACGTATACGTGAATTTGTTTTTCTAAACTGGGAGACTCATTATGCCAACCATCGAAAAAAATGTGTCCACCCTTTATAAACGCGTGAATGGTCTCAAAGACGTTCATATTTATAATAAAACAAATCCAGATGTGGAGGCATAGGAAATCCCCCGTTTAGAGGTGTGACAGCCATTTAAATAAAAAAATGTAGGGGATACTCATTCCCACGTTTAAGAAATTGTGCCTACCTAAATTATGCGCCGCAGCACCTAGCAAAAAGGTGCTTCACAATGGGTCTCATATGTTCATATACTTCATTTACCTGGCTTTTGTTGCATTCTCCCCAAGCGCTTTGTATCCTCTGGCAAGAAGCGCTATTTAAATACAATTATTATTATTATTTATTAAACGCATGAAACATAAACGCCTCTTAGGAGCATGGTGCTCATTATGCTCAACATCAAAAAATGTCTACTTTTCTGCACACAGACACATGTATATTCATGAGGGAAAAATAGGTTTGCAGCCATCGCAAACTCACCATTTTAGCCCGTGTCAGCGATTTTAATAATGTGGATGCGTGCTTGTAGCCACAATTATTTTACAATCTGTGCCGATTATATTAAAACAAA